TATTACTAATATAATATGATATAATAATTGTTATATATTTCAAATTATGTTTTTTCGAATAATTACTTAGACTTATTATACAGCAAATTGCAATAGTACCTTGTACAAGTGTAGCATATTATAAAATTTCAAAACGCAATTGTTTTCGACACATTTATTCACTTGAGATTGACGGGGACTTTTGCACTAGTTCAGAATGACTTCATATCTTTGGCTACTTTAACGTCAGGCTCTCGAGTGGCAAGAATAATTGTGTGATTTCGCAGCCAATGAATTGTAGGTCGACACAGGCCTGAGTAACCACAAAGTTGGGCTGTAGTTGTGTGCACAATTGAGTGAGTTTTGATGAGGATCCGCTGGGACCTAGACGAGCCTCACCTCTCTGGGGCTTTAGCTAGAATCCCCGCAACTTGCGGCCGCATTCGCTCTCGCAATGGGCGTTTGAGTCCCATTTTAATGGGCTAAGCAGATGGCATGACGGCTTACAATGAAGCCAAGCCCTCATAGAGCCCTCCTCCTGCCAGTGCAATCAGGGATCCGCCACACCACCCTCCCGGAGACGTTCTCAATGCCTCCGGTTGCTACGAGAGCATATGACCCCGCTTGGATACGTCATGAGTTCATCCTTGCTCATGCAGTTGTGAGTGTGCATATAAGACGTATTCACTGCATTTCCTTGACGGTGATGAGGGCCCGGATAGTTGAAAGCTTAGTAGTCTCGACGGCCTAGTTACAAACAAAGAATAAGTAATATAGTCCAATGCTATAGCACATAGAAACGTGCACCATCGCCAATCGCACTGTCATGGTTCGAGTCCTGCCGGGGTGTCGATGAGACGAGTTTGTGCGCGATCGGATCTGCAGCAGTCGAGCCGCAACGGGAATCCCCATTTGGGCAAGCAAGGCTGTGTCAACTTGAAAGGAGGCGCAAGGTCCACGCACATGATTGTGTGAAGCATAAAACTATCGCTCGCCTCGTCAGTTGACAAGAAATGTGGTGTGAATACATCTCGTACCGATGATTTGGTGCTAGTCCGCGAGACATGCAAAGCCAGCCAAGATCCGCTTTCCTACATGCGCTGAATGCTCTCTCTCTTTTTCAGGCCGTCGAGTTGGAGACGCGCGCCTCGGTCGGCTTGGCAACCAGAACCCCGATCCGGAAGTGGGTCGTAAACCGCGTGCGGGACGACGACTCGGCAGAGACGGCGGCCATCAAAGTGCCGGACAGTCTGTGATCTATCCTGACTTTACTTTTACTCCTCTTGATATATTTTATCTCCGGCTTTTAGACGATTTTACTCCACATTATATATATATATATATATATATATATATTTTTTATCCTTCCGGGAGGGCAATCTTTTAATATTTGCTCTCCTCCGCTTGACTTGGCATTGGTTAATAGAAAGTGCTGATGTTTATTGTAAATTGTTATATGGTACAGTTGGCATGATAACAAAATAAACGTAGACTGTGAAAATGGTATTTTGCAATCCGTTAAAAACTTGTACAAGGTAACGTCAATGCCTTTATCACGTGGGGCGTATACGTGCAAATGTCGGTAGCTAAAGTTGTGCCCATCGAGGTGTGATGTCGTGTGGGCAGACGGGGGGCGGGGGCACGAGCAAGGCAGCTAAGTGGGG